GGCAGTATCGGCACCTCCCCAGTTTTTAAACGAGTACCCCCCATCCCCACTCGAAAGCTCAAATTCCCCAAGCCCGGTACTCGAAGCACCCTCCTGCTCAGGCCAAGACGAGAACGAGGAGGGCCCCGTCCTGTCCCCCGACAGCTTTGTTTATATGGCAGCACCTGAGCGGCCCAAGTCCGGCCCTTCGGAAGTCAGCTCGGCTTGCGAGGACATCCAAGATCTGGACTCGTATTCGGAAAGTACTCAGTCAGGGATGGATGGGGTAGAGTTTGTCTTGGGCTCCGTGACGGGAGACGACAGCGACTGGGAGTCTGACGGATCTGCTCTGGACTTCCCGGTGCTCATGTCCAACGACCCGATATGGGACCAACTGGAGCCAGGCCTGCTACAAGTTCTCTTTAGTCAGACAGAGACCAGCCCGGTGGAAGATGGGTCCCTGAGGGGATCCCCAGTGTGTCCCTCTGGAACCACCTTCACGGCAAGTGAGGGCTCTGAATCAGACAGTGGATCAGTGCAAGAATGTTCCGACATTGAAACACAGGAAGAGGTATGCCATCATTTAAATTTCTGATTCTTCAAAACGGGCTGAAGTTATGCTGACACCGTCGTTGGCCGGCTGCGTTTGCGAGCGCGACAACTTTAAAACGATTGCAACTCGATGCTCTACACTTGTGCGTGGCAGTCCTCAAGTTGTATGTGCGTATTTAAGGTGGGCATTTGGGTGCGAGGTCGCCGCTAATCTGCGTTTAGTGGGGAGGGTGCAAGTGTGTGAGTGCTCATGAGTTATTTTTGTATGTGAAGCTGAAAGCAGTGGCAGCCTGTTTGTTAGGTTCGTGTCAGCTTCGCGTTTTGCGTTGACTCTTTGCCTAAGTACACAATGCCTCGGGTGCTGGGCGTATCCCGAGTGTGCGTTTGCTGTCTGGATCATTGGAACAGGGTTTTTCTTTTTTGTTTTTGAATTTCATATTGAACCATAGTATTCTTTTTGTTAAAAAGTGTAAATGTGACGTAACACATTTAGGTTTTGCAAAGAGCAGTAGTGTATGATAAGATAAGATAACCTTTATATGTTTGTAATGAGTTGTTATGGCTGCCTTCTTTTTGCAGTATAGCATTTAGCGCAGCAGCATGCGGTCAGAGCTAAAAGTATTGTCCAATCTCTGATCACCAAATTTGAACCATGTGACCTCTGTGAGATGCATCATACAATTAGATGTAACGGGGCCAGGCGGGCCTCGATGCCGCACCAGAGTGAAAAATGACCTCTGTGAGATGCATCATACAATTAGATGTAACATGGGGCCAGGCGGGCCTCGATGCCACACCAGAGTGAAAAACTCAAGCGTTAATCTAATAAGTACAGGCTCCAAGTGGATCTTTCATCTGGCACCAACTCATTTTTCTTGTTTTGCTGTTGTCATTGCATCACTCCCCAAAGTTCTGCTTGTCGTCTTTGACCTCGACAGACTGTGACAAAACATCTCTGTGGAGAAGCATCAGCTGTTGTTGCTCAACTTTAAACGCTAAAATGACGCTTCAAACCATAATGGTGAACTTACCATGTCTTGTATGTTGTTATGTTGTCTCTTATCAGGCATGGCTTCTTCAGACTGTTTTTGTGAGCAGACTTGAGACTGATGCCGCCAAATTCCATCTTTATTATTATTTTACTTTACATTTTTTGTGGGTGTGGGTGTGTGTGTTTGTCAGAGGTGACATTGACGCCTGCCGTGTTATGAAGTCATTTTTAGGCCTCTTGTCAACTGACCCCCCTCAAGCACTCTCATCGACGCTTGGATGCTTTTGTTTATGAGATAAGAAGGTGAGAGCTAAACAGTGTGTGCCGCATGCGTGCGCATCATCACTCCCGTTAGCTTTTGATGCCAAGATAAGAGCGAACGGCGCGCACGCTGGCAGACGTGCTCTCCAACAGAAAGGCTTTCGGATCAGGGGTGTCGCTCATTTAAAGGGCCAAGCGGGCTTTTGTGTGCCCCCGCAGATAAGACAGACTAGACAGACAGATGGACCTAGCTTTAGCATGCTGTTTGATGGCTGGAGGGTGCAAGCGCACAGACGGGCTAGCCTCAGATATGCTGTTGGACTCCTCAAGATTTGAAGCATCAACACTGAATGGCTGCGCGCCACATTTGTTCTCATTTTATTCACGATGGGTGGAAATATAGTTAGCTTTCAGCGGCAGGAAGGTGACAAATGGAATTTGTTAAACCATATTGACTCGTATATGAAAAATCTTGTGTGGAAGGCTTCTCAGAGCTGTAGTTATTTTCTCATTTGCTACCCCTATTCAACAACAAAACAGAAAAAAAAAGATTCATTGGTGCCTCAAGATAGAAAAAAAAACCCCACTTGTTTCTCAAATCATCTTTTCCCATGAAATGATTTTAAATATTTTGTTTCGGCCTCACAAACATCAAACTGAGGTGTCTCTAGATGTGTGCTTCATACATTTGTGTGTGTTTTTTTGATGTGCTAATTCAAGCAAGATGAATGCATGAAAGACACAGTCGGGAAAAATCAATCTCCCGGTGGAGTTGAGTGAGCTGCAAACAGGAAAAAAAAGATTTCACTTTTTGCATACCCTTTGCAAAAAACACAACACGAACATGCAGGCAATACTTGAAAATGCAACCCGTGGATAGAGGGATCACTTGTTTTATTGTTCCGAGCGTCGTTATCAGCGTGGCGTGACGTTGTCAAAGCCACGGCTTGTTTTCCTCTCTTCCTTACGGCAGGAAAGGATGGTGGGGGCTACTGAAAGGCAGGAAGTGAGCGAAGGTGACCGGGCGGTGGGCAGGAAGTGAGGGGGAAAAAGGTTGAAGACAAACAGTCGACGAAGCTGATAGCAGTGATGTTGTCAATCTGGGTTATGGAAAAAAAAAAGGGGGAAAAATGTCACTTTGTGGAATCCATATGTGGTGGTGTTGGTGGTTACCGACAGGGAGGATGACAAAGACGTGAGCAAGAAAAGATGGAACATGGTGCGCGGGTTCTGATTCATACAACACTTTTGTCTTCACACGTCTACCTTTTTTTTGTATTAAACTACATAAATATGGTAACTCCATTTTTTATGGAGCTTGCTGATGATCTGACACTTTGTGTTTCCCAGGTGTGTACCTGAGTAACATAACTGACTGCAGATGTGCAATTAGTCACACACAAACACACAAGGTCTTTTATTTATCCATGATGATTCCATTGCATGCTATCTCATCACGCAATGATCCTTGGTGTGTATTGGAAAGTACCGGTGTACACACACACAGACACACACACAGACGCGCGCACAGGCACACACACACGCAGTGTTTTAGTCCTACCCGTGGAACTCGATCAATCGGGCAGTAATTTAAAGTTTTTGCTTCAAAAGCAGACAGAAACCTGCAAGACTGTTGGATTTATTTGTTCATTTTTTTACCCCAAAGAAATCCTTGTGGAACTTTCCATTGCGCATAGATTTGACGATGTGCCTGTCGGAATTATCTTTGGGTTAAGTCACGAGAAGCTTGTTTTCATGCAAATGGTTGTGTTGTTTATGTCTGAGGTTTTTTTTTTTTTTTGTTTTTTGTTTTTGCTTGATTTTTATCAGCGCTCAACAAATCGGATTAGCGAGTTGGCTCACTTGGATATCTTCCCCCCCACCCCTGACTGTTTAAAAACAAGCGTAAACATGAGTCAGCAAAGTGTCAATGAATCAATTCCTACCAAACTGATTTCCTCCTCCCTCTTATTCTTAGCGAGGCCTGTAATTCATTTGATCTTTGAACGGCAACATAAAATCACATTTTTTTCCGTATATATCTTTT